ATATATGGTTCTTAAGGCCATAGTATTCAGTGAAATAAATCAGAACAGATAATCAAATACTTTATAGTTTTTCTTTTCTCTAGAGAAACCCAAGATATAAATAAATTAAAGAGTAAAATAAAAGGAAGATGATAGGTTCTGGGTGTGGTGGCACATTCTTGTAATCGCAGCACTCCGGAAGCAGAGGCAGGAGGACTGCTGTGAGTTAAGGCCAACCTGGGTTACATAGTTCAAGGCTGGCCTGAACTATACAGCAAGACCTTGTCTTAAAAAAGAGATAGGAAGCAAGGAAATAGACTTTTTCTTGAGAAGGGGAAGTGGGGAAATGATCAAGATACTATATGTATAAAATTTTACATATACTAATTTTTTAAAAAAAAAATCTCTGAGGGCTAGAAATGTAGTTCAGGGACAAAGTATGTGTTTAAGTTGTGCATGGCATTGAGTTCAATCCTTAGCATTTTATTAGGGCTAGTCTTTCACATAATAACAGAGTGGTCAAGAGCAGAAAGTTTTAGCATCAAGGTATCAAGATGTAAATATGGTTTGATTATTGCTTGTTCTGTGATTGAGGCCCCACCTAATCTTTTGTGTCTCATCTATTGAGAGTGATACTAATTTCATAGGATTATTATGAAGAGTATGAGATTATTATGAAAAACCTTGCCCCTCAAAAGTCATTAGTTGTTAAACACTAGAGAAGCAGGGTAAACTCCGTGACAGAATGCTTTTCTTTCATGTTCAGTGCCCTACATGCTCTCTCTAGTGCCCCCCCTCTCTGTTTTTATCTCTGTTTCTCTCTTTCTGTTGTTGTTTTTAGTAATTCTATTACTAAACTTGCTTGTGATTGCATTTTAAAGTAAAAGTGACTGATTTTTTTCTCTACTCTCAGGCCGGGGTTATAATGACTTAAATCAGTATCCTGTGTTTCCCTGGGTCATCACTAACTATGAGTCAGAAGAACTGGATCTTACCTTGCCAAGCAACTTCAGAGATTTGTCTAAGGTAATTTCTCAGCAATTTTCTGAAATACTATCTTGCATATTAATATAATTCTCATTCATAATTTTCACCTACTTTAACAGATCTTTTCACTGTATTTTCACTGTAATTGAACCTTTAATATATTTACCTTTTGGGGCTGGGGAGATGACTCAGTAGAATAAGCGCTTCCCTGGCAAGTGCAAGAGTCTGAGTCCAATGCGTGTTTCCGGGGGGGGGGGGCAGAAATATATATATATATCTTTTAAATGTATTTCAAGGTTCTGAAGCTCAAAACTATGAAATTTAATGTGCATGATAAACTTGATTATTAAAGATACTGATATGTTTGTTTTTCTACATCCATTCAAGCAAGTAGTATCCCCTATTTTTATTGAAACATGAGGGCCGGAGAGATAGCTCAGTAGAATAAGCACCTGCCTGGCAAGCGCAGGATCCTGAGTTCATTCCCCAGTACCACAAAAAAAAAAAAAAAAAAAAAAGAAAGAAAGAAAGAAAGAAAGAAAGAAAGAAAGAAAGAAAGAAAGAAAGATGAAAAGAATCATGGAGAAGTAC